ACAGCATCAACTTATGAAAGCCAAGGCGGAAGAAGTGCCACCACATAGTAACAGAAAGTCACGAGCCGTGTGTAGTTTCGACGAAGATTGATTGTATGATCGCGGCTGCTGTCCCATAATCGGAACAGCTACAAAAGACACTGATCTAGCGATTACGAGTATTCGACGTTTTCCAATCCAGGTAGACCTTTCCGAGTGCTATGCTTGGGCATGCATGGCCATTGTTTGCAGTGGCGGATTCGTCGAACGCAGATTTTGGAGAGGATATCGGGACATCAGCGACCAAAACAGTGAAGAAAGTCCACGAGAGTTTGCATCCATTTCCAGTGAGTAATTGACGTGTCTTAGAATCTTTCCAATCTCGTGCTGTCAGGGCGAGGTTTGACGGGTCGCGGTGTGAGAAGTCAGGAGTCGCGCTAGTCGCCCCTCGTGGCGTGGCGCGAGCTCTAGATCGACACCCCTGCCCATGACGTAGCACGTGTAAACGCGGGACATCAAATCAGGGCTTCTACAGCGCCGACGACGACATAGCGAGCACCGCCGAGCCTGAAGATCGCCCCCAAGCATTCCACGTCAAATCTAGAGTGCGACATATATCCTACAAACGCCTAATCTCCTAAAGCGTCTCTCATCACACCCGTACCTGCCACCAACACCCAAACCCAAGGCAGACGCGCACATCCAATATGGCATCCTATCTGGAGAAAGTGCGCCGCCAGTCAAAGCAGCTGTTCCCTCAGTCAAAACAGAAACCCGGCGCCCCGCCCATCGAAGACCCTCCTAAAGTCTCGGAATCCGCCGTACCGAAAGTCGAGGATGCTGCCGTCCCAAAGATCGAAGAACCCGCTGCTGACCCCAGCGGCCCCGTACCCTCCCCACCAGCACCAACTGTCGCCAACGCCAGCGAAGAAGTAGGAAGCGAGCCTGTTCTCGACGCCGAAGACCAGCAATTTCTTGAGCGACTTGCCGCCATCGCCGCGGAGCCCGAAGGCACACCCCCACCCCTTCCTCAGCGTACCGAAATAGTCGACGACAATGGCGAGAAGAAGGTCGGCAGGGATGCGCAAACAGCCCTCATGGACAATGCAGACAAAGTGCCGCTCCCCATGAGTCCACCCGAGACCACTGCTGACGCTAGCGACAAGGGCAAAGGGAAGGCCGCTGAGGGTGGACTGGGTAGGAAGAAGAGCGTCATGTCCTACTTCCAGCTGCCCAAATTCGCCAAGAAGGACGGAGAGAAGGCCTCGAAAGACAAGAAGATCGTGGTCACGGAGAAGGACAGGACCCAATTCGCAGACGACCTACTCGCTGCCGCCGAATCCGCCAAGGCTGCCGAGCTTACCGATGCGCAGAAGGAGGACAAGGAGTTGACGGATATTTTGGATCAGCTCAACCTCTCAGCTGTCAACAACCGCGTCTTCAGCTTCAGCAAAGAGTCGGAAGAGCTTCTCAACAAGTTCACGCAGGTTCTGAAAGATCTCATAAACGGGGTACCTACAGCTTACAACGATCTGGAGAAGCTTTTCACAGATTACGACAACCAACTCAAGAAGATGTACGGCAACCTACCGCCTTTCCTGCAGAACCTGGTCAAGAGTTTGCCTGCCAAGCTCACAGCCACTCTCGGCCCAGAGCTCATGGCTGCGTCGTCCGAGAAGCCAGGGTTCGATGCACAGGCTTCCAGCAAGCCCAAGGGCAAGAGGTCTATGCTGCCCCAAGTGCCAAAAGTACCGAGTCTGAAGTCGCTGGTGTCCGCTCAAGGTGCTGTTGCAACGGCACTGAGGAGCATTGTGAACTTCCTGAAGTTCAGGTTCCCTGCTCTGGCAACTGGAACCAACGTCATCATGAGTTTGGCAGTATTCGGTACGTATCATGTTCGTATCGCGTTTGGACCACAGGCTGACTCTATTTAGTACTGCTATTCGTATTCTGGTACTGCCACAAGCGCGGTCGCGAAACCCGTCTCGAGAAGGAGCGCCTCGCTGCTGAAGACGGCCAAGCTGGACGTATCAGCAGCGCCTCCTCCATCAACGAGGAAACCGACTCCATCTTTGGTGATCAGTCAAAGGCGAAGACTAGGGACAGCGGGAAGATAACGCCTGCTTCTCCGCCTCAAGAACCACTCATCATCAAGGACAACAAAGAGAAGGAGGAAGAGCAGTCAGCGTCGGTAGCTGATCTCCCGAGTGTGTCGCATCTTCCCGATCCAAAATCGGGAGAGGTGCCCAGGACAGCCACTCCACCTCCTGATCGTAAGTAGGCACCGTGAAGGAGCGGAGATGAAGCTGAGGTATTTGGTTCAGATTGATATTCCCTATGCGTATACCCTGGCTTTAAGTAATACTTTAATTAACGACGCATCATGACGCTATCTTTTCGATTTGCCATCCTGTGCTCCTACACTATCTCGGTGTCTGAACGACGCATAAGAGCATTAATCATGTAGGTGCTGTCATCTCCACTCTCTCTCAAGGTTTTCTCGCATGAATTACCACGACCTCGAAGTACGCATGCACCTTCCTCTCCTTCACGCCCGACCTGAACTTAGCAAAGAAAACCTGGGCCTCGTCGACCGTCCAGCCCATAACCTTCGTCAGCAGATACAGTCCCCAGCCCTCCGCTCCTTGCGTGATATGCAGTAAGTTCCACCTTCCCAACTCTTTCATATGTGGATCGGCTGGCCACCCGTTGACGGGAACCTTGTATACCCGCTCTTCGACATCTTTAAACCCCGCATTACGAATATACGTCGACAAGTTCCAAACCTCGTAGAAAGATTTCCCGAAACGCTCGGACGCTTCATGGAAGAGATCGCTCCACTGAGACAAGACGTGTTCTTTGGTCAACGTGCCGTCGTCGGATTTGAACTGGATGCTCATCTCCATTTCATGGAGGTAGCCGCCTGGCTCGAGGTTGTTGTAGACTTGTGCGTATAGTGCTGGCCAGTCGCCGATAGAGCCGTACAAGGAGCGGATGTTGATGAAGTCGAAGGGCTGGGTGTATGTCCATGGGAGGGTGACGTCGTCGATTTCGAATTTGCAGTTGGGAGGTGTGAATTGCGGTTGGATGGGGGAGAGGTCTACGCCGAGGATTTCGGCGCCGGGGTATTCTGGGTATTGGGTTAGTCATAATATCTTAGAGAGAGAAATTGTCGGAGTTATTGGAGATGAAGAGAGGAAGAGCAAAAGACCCACCGTCGGCCATGTCCATACACCATATCCCTGTTCCGCATCCCAGATCCAACACCTTCCTTGGCTCTTTGACAGGTGCCAGATGCAGCTTCTGGTTCAGCATGATTAGAAACATGTGGTGCGCGATGTCGAGTTGATCGTTCTGGATTTCATCGTTGGGACCCCAGTAATCATTTTCGCCCTCACGGTACTTGTGGTAACGGCGGCCGTTTTCGAAACGACCTTTATGTATGGTTGACGCAATGGACGTTGTGTCGCTTGCAGCGTCATCGTCGCCTAGAGCCGAGTCGGCGTCTGTACTATCCTGCTGATGTTAGAAGTTTCTTGAGAAATACTGGGTTGCGACGTTTGTTCCGCGGCGCATCATGTATGAATGATCAAACTATGTGAAGGGGAGTTTGGAATACTTACAACTAACACAAGTGGGTTGACAACTTCCGCTGTTGGTGCAGGACCTTCCACTGTTTCTGAGGGAAGCCCCGTTGGTATTGCTTGACTATCAGATGCTTCCGCTGGATCTGGCGAGGTGGTCGCTTCTTCTGGTGCGTCAGATGATGCAGTAAGGTCTTTCAGTGGTGACGCTGCCCCGGCAGTTTGTGGCGCAACGTTCGTGGAGCCATCTCCAGAGATTGTATTGTCAGATGATGCTGTTGCTGACTCGATCTCAATTGCCTTCTCTTTCCCTTTTCCAAGAGTTGCCATCGTAGAGATTGTGTTTCACTCGATAAGCTGAACCACTCCGCCAATGGCAAATAGGTCGGCACAAGTTTTGTATGTTTCAAAAGTTCTTCGAGCGACTATTAGCGCGGCTATCAAAGCCAGAGACAATAGCCGCGACTGTGCCTCAATCGTACATCAACGGCACGGAACGAAATGGGGCAAATAGATAAGCGAGTATACAAAAACCACTATGACGTCGTTTGATGGGTCTCGAATGACTTCAGACGGGCGGAAAAAGTTCGGAAAAGTTCAAGACAACAACTAAGAGAAGAAGGAGTGGTTAATAACGGCAGGTGCCGTCACGAAGACCCTGCCCAGACAGTAACACGATCAAGGTGCGCCTCTCCACAGGGCTAGAACAAACTGGCGCTGAGGTCCGAAGTGCTTCACGCCAACGTGCATACAAGGGCAAAAACGTGGTTGTGGACCGAGATCGCGGGAGTCTCCTGCAGGCTCGACACGACGCATCGTAGCCTGTTTTCGACCGGAGTGTTCTCCACCGAATGATTCGCTGGAGTAAGTTTCGCGATCGGACAAGATTTGATTGCGAAAACATCAAGAGTCGGTTACTGCTTCGTGTAAGACGAGACTTGAGTCACTTGACGCTGCATTGCTGCTGTACTAACTTGCCCTATCAGCTTGTTGCGTGCCTCAATCGCTCAGCTGGGGAACCTTGACAATCAACAACACGACGCTAGCGCAAGCAGTCTTGACGTGCCGCGGCGCTTGCAAACCACTCCGGTTCCCGCTATCCTCTGTAAGGGATGAGACTTGGTTCCAGATGTCGCCATGACTTCCGTCAAACGTTGCTCGTTGGTGGGGCACACCGAGGAAGGTATGGACAACACATGGCTTGGTCACCATGCAGCTGCGAGCTCCGCATCTTCTCCAATCCTCCAAATTGGTGCTTGACCGATCAGGGCCAGTAACAGTGGTTCAATAGGAGCTTGCAGCAACGCTCTCCGCTAGTTTCTGTAGCGCACAACGGCGCCCGCGCTTTCACGAAGGGTTGCCCCACTGATGGGAAGAACTCCCATTCATCATTTGCAACTTCAAATCCTTGCGCTCTGACATCACTTCAGGCAAGCCATGGAGTCTGTTCCGCCCGAGTCATTGCTTGACAGCGTCTCACAGCGCCTGTACGCCATCGCATTCGTCGCTGTGGCGTTCTTCGCTATCGGCCGCATACGACAGTACTTGCGTCTGAGACATTTCGCCGGACCCAGGACGACGGGACTCTCTTGGCTGTGGCATTCCAGAGCTGTTATCGGTGGCCAATCTCCTAGGTACTACGGCGAGGTTTGCGAGAAGTACGGTACGTGTCAGGAAGGCAAAAGTGCTACGCGATCTGGTGGCCTTATACTGATACTCCTCATAAGGGCCGATTGCCAGGATCGCACCGAACCACCTCATAACATCAGACCCAGAATACTGGGCACGGATCAATGCAGTGCGCTCACCGTATAAGCGATCATCATGGTACTACCATAGTGCTCGGTTTGAGACGGGGAAAGACAATGTCTTTACAGATTGCGACAACGATAGCCATGATGCCAGACGGAAGAAGATGACAGCCGGGGTACGTGGATACACAATCTGGATGATGAGGTTGCGCACCTCTAGTGGAAATTTGAGCAGCTGCGCGACCGATCTGCACTTACTAACGTATTGCAGTACTCTGGTAAAGAGAACCCGACATTAGAGCCTTCAATAGACCTCCATGTAAAAGAACTTGTGACTTTGGTGCGCAAGTATGCGGCCTCGAAAGCGTCAACGAAACCATCCCAGGCCATGGATCTAGCTCAGAAGATCCCCTTCTTTACATTGGACGTAATCAGCCATGTAGGTCTGGGAGAAGCATTCGGTGACTTGAATGCCGACAAAGACCTCAAAGACTACCTGAAATCGAGCGAAGAGGGTCTCAAGATTGGAAACACGGCCTTCGCAATGGGTATAGCCTGGCTCAGAGACACGCCTATAATTGGCCCCGCCATTAGTCCATCGGAGAAGGATGCCACTGGGTTCGGTAACATGATGGCTCAAGCGCGAAAGATAGTCGACTCCAGGATGTTGAAGTCAACTGAAGACAAGTCTGATATGTTCGCGTCATTCGTCCGCCATGGTCTCTCTGGAAACGATCTTTGTAAGTGACATGAGTGTTGTAACCCACGATTCCGGGCGTCGACTGATCCACCGTGCTTAGTCCAGGAAGTCTTCGAGCAGATTCTCGCTGGATCTGACACTACGGCTGCTGCCATTCGGACCATTTTGCTATATGTCATGAGCCATCCGCGCGTGTATGCAAAGCTGCAATCTGAGATAGATGAAGCCGTCAGAAGTAGCACGGCTCCCGCATTTCCTGGCATCATCTCAGATGCAGAAGTGCGCCGCCTGCCATATTTAGGCGCTGTCGTCCGTGAAGGAATGCGAGTAAGTCTTGTCCTTTCTGGAAAGAACATGGATCTTTGAGCCAGTATGCGCTAACAGTACACCCTGCAGATACATCCACCAGTCGCCAACATCTTTTCAAGAGTCACTCCGGATGAAGGAGATGTTGTGACTATCGATGACAAGGAGTATCACATCCCCGGCGGCACCTTGGTCGGCTACTCAGCCTGGACGATGCACCGCAACAACCGCGCTCTCTACGGCGAGGACTGTGGTACCTTCCGTCCTGAACGCTGGCTGATTGATACAAGCGACGAGGAGGCGAAAGACCGTCTAACCAGAATGACGAAAACCAACGATATGATATTTGGGTACGGTCGATGGCTCTGCCTGGGACGCAACATCGCGTTGATTGAGATACACAAGTGCATCTTTGAGTTGTTGAGACACTTTGATCTGTCGTTGACCAACCCACTGGAACCATGGAAGACATTCAATTCGCTTGGGTTATGGGAGATCAAGGACATGTGGGTAAATGTCACCTTTAGGTAATAAGGCTACTGCGGCCTCCGCTGGGTATATTGAATGGACGATGGGCGCATCCGTCGCACGCCTCGTCTGGTGTAGTCAAAATGATAGTAGAATGATGTTCCGACGCGTTTTGCTTTGCTTGGTTGTGAGGGCAACATTGATGCTCGAGTTCCGAGCAGCCAATCGGCTGAAGCGCAGAGAGCGACGTACCAGCGACGAATATGTCTGAGCCTGGGACCTCTCCACCCAAATATGGCAGCATTGACTAAACTCGCATAGCTCATATTCTGGAGATAATCGCCATGTGCGCAGACCTGACGGATCTCTCCAACAGCGACAAACGGCCGTGGCTGAAGTAATCCGGAACATGGCGAGAGCGCTCCATATCAAACCAACCATGGCAGCCACCTTCGCCCGCCATCACAACTTCGACCAAGTCCCCACGTACAATCACGGTAACGCCATCGCGAACCAACAGCCACCTTACGATGCCTATGCCGCGTCGCACCATCATGTCGCAGCCCGCCACAGCAACATGGCAGCCTATTGCGAGCCTACCACCGCCAACGCCCAACACGCTGCCAGTATGAACGACCACGGGCAACAGCACGATCACAGCTACTCTCCAGACGACACGCCTGGAAAGCGCGAAAGCTTCCAGCATGGCTTAGCTGGCCAACATCATGACTACAGGATCCACAGCCCTACATCCGAAGCATCCTACATCGGCATCCAGCACAATTCGACACAAGCACCCCTAGACAATGACGCGTCCGACCGTCAATTCGCTATGCTCCCGCCCTCCAACTCGATACACCCTTCGTGGCAATCCCTCCACGATTATGCGCAGTCGCACGCCGCGGAAAACGGATATGCGCTATCTATCAATACGACGGCTAAGAACCGGTCGCGCATCAAACTTGCCTGCGTCTGCTATGGCCAGCCGAAGAACACCCACAAGCTTACAGCCGAGACGAGGGTTAGGAAGAACAGGGTCAGCTATAAGACAGGATGCAAGATGTGGATCGAAGGCAAGAAGCAGGACGACGGCACATGGCTCTTGCGCGTGGGCGAACCACAACACAACCACCCCGGGCGCGAGAGTGCCGGATGGGCTGTACAACGGAAGAGGACGTGGGGTGTAGTAGGAGGGCGCATCGGGGTTGGAGGCGTAACAGCGAAGGAGGAACTTGCCAAGTCGAGCCTGACGCAAAATCAGGAAACCCTCGAAGACGTGGACGCGGAAGCCGACGGCGACGAGGACACACCCAGCGCACCTACCCACGCCCCGAAGAAGCCACAACACAGCCTCGAGCGTGGAGGTCTCGTGTGGAGAATCGTTGAACAGGAAATGCTACGGAAAGGCGAGCCCAATCAGGGCCGCGACCGAGGCGTAGGAAGGACAGTCGAGGTGCTACAAGCAAGACTACCGGGCATACACATTTTCAAGCGCGACGTATACAACATCCGAGCGCAGATAAAGCGAGCACGGAAAGCGGCGGGCCAACAAGTCGGCGACGGCCTCAACAGCTCAGACGACGAAGCTGAGGGTGAAGCCGAAGCCGATATCCACGATACCGTCCATACCGTACAACTCAACGCTGACACCAGCACAAACCATCCGATTCAACGACCCGCTCCACACTCACAAAACACATATCACCACCCCACATCCCACACCCTCAAACCGCCCGCGCCCTTCCCACTCGTCCGAAAAGATTCACGCATCGATCCTTTGCTCGATAGTCGCGGTCCGCCGCCACCGAATCCTCCCGAGGCCGTCGATATAGAAGTCGACCAGTTGAGGCGGGAAAATGCAGAGCTAAGACGCATGTTGACGGAGCGGACGAAGCAGGTCAAAGAGAAGACTACGGAGTTGGCGGAGAGGGCGAAGGAGATCAAGGATAAGACGACTGAGATGGCGGCGCTGAAGAGTCAGGTTGAGCTGTTGAGTAATATGATGATGACGAGTGGGAGGGGGTTAATTGGGGGGTAGTGGATAGATAATCTGGTGGGGTGGAGTGATGCGTGTTAGGGTAATGAGAAGGGGTTGTATGCCCATCTGTTGTACGAAGAAGAATATGAAGATATGCAAGGATAATCAGATTTACATATATAATCGTAAACAACGAACAACCGAATAAGCTAAACAAAAAAGCCAAGAGGTATCTCAGAAAGGTATCCGTAAAAACAACCCTGCCAAAAAGTTCACTCTGTAAACTCCCAGTCAACATCAGCGTGGTATCCAGCACCAGAAACTCCATCATAAGCTCATAGCCAACTCGTTAACCCGTCGCTCGTTTCAACGTTGTCAATGACGTGCTTTACGCCTCCTCGACCATGTCCTCATCTTCGCCCTCGGCGAGCATGTCCTGCTCTTCGCAGCTACGCTCCACTTCATCAGCGATGAACTGCTCGTACTCCTCCAAACTCTTCTGTACGTGGAGTTTGAAGCGTACGATGTCGTCGAGCATGCGCTCGATTTCTGTGTGGAGTTCTTCGCGGAGGGCGTTGGCGCGGAGTTGGAGTTGTTCGTACCTGATGTAGATGATTAGCTTTGTGTCGTAGAAAGTTGAACGAGGGGAAGGGGTAAAGAACTTACTCGATGTTGACGGCCATCTCTCGTTGTACCATGAGTTGGACGCTTTCTCCCAGACCGCTACGCATGCGGCCCAGTTCTTTCTCCATGCGTTCAATCTGTGCGTCAGATTGGCTCTTTTGCGTGTTTGTTATTTCGCGGAGCTTTTCTAGCTCCTCCTCTGCTTGAGCTACACGGTGGCCGAGAGCTTCGACTTCGGCTTGCTTGTCGTCCATGGCTTCTTTGATCTTGTCGAGAAGATCGTGATTGTTCATGTCGGCTTCTAGGGCTTGGTTGCGTCGTTCGGCAATCTCCTTGCGGAGTGCGATGATGTTGGCCTTTACTGTGCCACGGAGGTCCAGGTTGAGGAGATGTGCTGGTGAGTATCCAGTGCCTGCGTCGTGAAGAAGACGGTCTGATGCATCCTGTGAGGAGCCACCCATTTGTGACCCTGAGAAGTTGGGGCCATCTGTGATGGTGAGGACAAGTTCGTAGTCTTGCCCCTTGGCATTGACAGCCGTAGAAGGGATGACCCCGATCTGGTAGCCCAGATTGTTGTATCGCTCGATCGTTTGTTCGAGTTCATCCAATTTGCGAGATGCAGCGATTTCCTTCTCTGCAACCCGCTTCTTAGACTCCTCTAAACGAACTGTCGTTGCCTGGAGAGAAGTATCAAGGCGGTCCCTTTCATTTGCCATACGGTCAATATCCGCAATGGTCATGCCTCGACCGTCAATGATAGCTTGGAGCTCTTGCTGCTCCTTCTCTGAGGCCTCAAGTTCTGCCTCAATCTCTTCAATGGACTTCTCCAAGAAGGAGCAGCGGTCGCTGTATTTCTTCACCTTGGAGTCCATGGAGTTGTTGTAGTTCTCAAACTTGACGCGATCTTCTTCGAGGATGCGGATTTGCTCCTCCAGCTTTTGGATCCGGGGGCCGGACTTTCCTAGTTCTTCGATCTGATCTTGCAGGTACTTGTGCTCGGCCTCAAGGAGGGCGACCTGCTCGTGATGCTGGGCATTTGCGGCGTCGAACTTGGCAGCCATTGTCCGGATGTGAGGCTCCATGTGCTTCTTCTGTGCCTCCTCATCGTCATCATCATCTTCTGCGGAAAGCCAAGTGCTGTAGGCGTCTGACAAGAAGTCAAAGATGATGCGATCTCCAGAGACGTCGAAGCCAGCCTCAAAGCAAGCGTCGTCGTATGTACCGGCCTCATAAGCCTGCATCAGGCGTGCCAATTGCATCATCCAGTGCAAAAGACCCAAGAATGTGTACCAGTTGTTTCCACCAACAGCCGCGATCTGGGACTTCATGATCGACTTCTCAAACGGATAGCGCATCTGCTTCAGCAGTACTGGCACCTCCTGATCAATTGATTTCTGGAAGCGATAGCTGGGATCAATCCGGTTGTAGAGCCATTGAAACATGCAGTTGAAGTCCTTCTGCGTTGGCGAAGTCATGGCTTTTGCTGAGAGGACATGTTTTGATTCCATCTCAAAGTTGTTCTGGGTCAGGAATTCGAGCAGCTCCTGAGCCATGTGCTGACGAGTGCTCGCATCTTTGAGTCGGCGCGGGTCCGTCGGGGGGACGGATGGCATGGGCGCCTGTTGGAAGAAGGATTGTTTTACACCAGATTGTCCAGTTACATGCGAGGCTCGCGATTTGAACACGCTGCTCCGCCGTTGTGCGCTCTGCTCGAAGTTCGGCCCTGAAGGGGGAGCAGGCGTTTGGAATATGGAGGCGCCAGGCGCAAAACTCTTGCGCGCACTGCTTGCGCCGAAGTTGCTAGTTGAATTGCGATGTACTGACTGGAAGCCTTGCGCAAGGTCTGTTCCGGAGGATGAGCGTGGGAAGAGCGGCTGGCTCGGGCGACCGGGCGCGAGGGACATTCTACTCCCACTCTTCGACCGGGCATGATTCGGAGGAAATTGGGGCTGGTTCATGTTGTTGATGGAGCTCGAGCGCTTCATGGCGGAAGCGGGCATGGGAATCGCGGAGGAGTTGTTGTTTACTGGTCCTAGAGTCTGCGCGCGTGGTTAGGAGATGCGACGAGAGGGGGTCGCACACTAGACTGACCTGACGGCGCACCGAGAACATACCCGGGTCGGCCATAGTATGTGTTGTGACAATTATGCAGCGATTGTCGGTCTGTTCGCGACGTCGCGGGTCAGCAAGGCGGGAGGCCGAGGGGGGTAGGGCTGGTGTTGATGCACCCGTACCCGCCTATGCAATGTTTGTTGTGATCAGGGTTTCGCGCTAGCCCACCGCAGCAACGCGCCTGGTCCGCGCCACGTGGGGTACGTATCTTGCATTGTTGACGTCTGATTATCTCAAATATGAGGCAGGTGGAGGCGGTAGTAAGGTAAGAGTGTTTATTTATAGCGACCGGCGGCGAGAGATGCCATGGCCAAAGACGCACTGTCGAAGGGAACGCTAGCAGGTAGTGATATGTAAAGCCAGAGTAAAGGAAGGCTGCCAACCCCGTCGTCCTCCCCAGTCGCCACAAGATCTCATCTCGGACGCACTCATACGTGCCACTTCATCGCTATACTGTATCGACTGGGGTATCGTTGTGCACATGCAAGCCAAAATAATGATGCCACAAATTTTCAAAACTCCAACCTGTGGCCCGTGAAAGGTATAAACAATAAGGACATTAAACTCGAAACCCGTTAGAAATGCATCATCAACATGCCCCCGTTGAAAGTGTGTTTTAGGCGTCTACCACCGTGTCGACTTTGGCGTGTCTGCCTTTCCTATGTTCTTGAACATGTCGTCGGCGCCGAGACTCAGCGTGTCTTCGTTGACACCGAAGGAGCTCAGGCCGGGCAGAGCCGGAGGCGGTGGGCCCTTGGGCTTGGGTGGTTGCGCAGCCTGTACGGCAGGTTGAGAGACGGTGCGACCGTTCGAGTAGGTCGTGGAATCCACAGTGCCTTCTGGAACAGATCCGGAGATGAATGTCTTCCTCTTGCCGAACCAGCTGCCGCTCTTCCTCCTGCTGAGACTGGGTGCTTGGCTGTTGATTGTAGCCGGCGAGCCCGGCCTCTGGTCCGACTTCAAGCTGTCGTTGGACGATAGCGTTCGAATGCCGAGGAACTTGCGGACGGATGCAGGCCGCTTGCTCGAAGGGCTCGTGGGGGACATGGCGCTGGTCGCATCGCTGGTGCGGCTCTGCTGGAGGTGGCCATCAGCCGAGTCCTCTGACGCTTTGCCCGGAGGCGGCGACTCTGTCTGCGGCGGGGAGCCAGGCGACTTTGGGGTGGGATGCGACGACAGTGGGCCTTTTCCAGGCGTGGGCGGGCGAGGTGACTCGGGCGGGCTGTCGAGCGGCGCGGGTATCGACGTGCCCTCGGTCAGAGAGAAGTTGATGGGCGAAAGCGTCAGTGGCTTGAAAGAGAACTTGTTGGAGCCCATTGCAGTGTCGTGGTGGGAGACTCGTGTGGTAAATTGCGGTGGGCGATCAATAAACCCAAGGTGCGGTGGAGTGGAGGCAATTGAAGGCTGGGAGCGACGCGGCAGCAGATGAGAGAGTCTCGCAGAAGCCGCAGGCGGGTGGAAGCTCAGGAGGTGCTTTCGTGAAGCGGAGTACGGGCCAGGGATTACACGACGGTTAGCAGGGATCAGCGCCCTGCACCACCCAGAGGCGCTGCGGATACGGCGCGCCAGCCTCGACCTTCCCCAGGGACACGCCCTGCCTGCGACCCCAGAGACAAAAAGAATACGACGTTGACAAAACACGCGCGCGTCAGCAACCGTCGTGCAGCGCTGCATGAATGCGTGCCTGCAGCGCGTCACCTTCGAGCTTCTAGCGCGACAATTGTACCAGAGAATGCAGTGGGTCAGCCACCCGAGTCAGCGTCAAGGCATAATGCAGGAGAGCCGTGCCGGACGCGCATCGCATGTCGCCATCTGCCTCCGCATATCGATTTGATTGAGACCCTTTCTGTGATCTTCAACGGTTATCTAGGCCCATATTCCTCTCGCTGCGACATGCTTCAAACACGCACTGCAGCCGTGTACCCCTCCAAAGTTTATCCGCCACATTGACGACCCCTATTGCCGTAGCTTCCGAAGCACCCTGATGTCATCGCTATGCACAACCTGATCCGGGCCACTCTCATCTTGTCTTTCGCTGATGCACCTCGTCCAATTCGGTAATCTCGTTGAGCAGTTGGCAAGTCTCCTGCGGGTTCGCGATCCACGCCGTCGTACATGCCAACCGAGCCTTGAAGTCGTTCGCCCCAGCACTCAAGAACTGGTCGCCAACGTGCAATGTTTTGCTGCCCTCAATCCCGCCAAAGATCCGCTGACAGGCAAGGACACCCCAGGACTTATCGCCGATGTCGACGAATACGTCGTTTCCGCCGTTGAACGCGCAAAAGGGGAGACGCTGGCCGACCTCGGATATTTCCTAGCCACGT